AAGGAGAATTTCGAGTTGGACAAAATAAATCATACGCCTGATTTCTTATTGAAAATTCTTGTTTAATTCAACTTTCAACTTACATTTTAACACTCTCAGCATTTGGTATAACCACCCTTTGCTTCCACCACTTCCTCCAACCCTCTTGGCATACTTTCGACGAGGTTTTGTAGATATCCTGAATCGATATTCTGCCACGCTGCTTCAAGTGCTTCAAAATAAACGTTTTTGTTGGAAACCGATGCTTTATCCACTTTGTTGTCCAAGTAAGACCACAAATTCTCAATTGGGTTGAGATCGGGAGATTGGGGAGGCCATTCCAGCGTTTTGAACCTATTTTATTTGAAAAATGCCGTTGTTTTCTTCGCTGTGTGCTTTGGGTCATTATCTTGTTGGAAAATGTAATTGGATTCCAGGCTAGTTTTCAGTAGCGAAACTTCCAGATTTTCACTTAACAAGTTAATGTACACATCTGCAGTCATTATTCCCTTTATATGAGCCAAGCTTCCAACACTAGACCACGCAAATGCTCCCCATACCATGATATTTTCGCCTCCGTGTTTAACCGTCTTTTGAATGTATGGTTCCTTAAGCGCGTCACCGAAACCTCGCCAAACCCTTGATCGCCTTTTCTGTCCAAATCACTCAAATTTGCTCTCATCCGTCCACAGAACTCGTTTCCAGAAGTCCACAGTCATTCCGGCGTACTTTTTAGCAAATTCCAGTCGCTTCCGTTGGTTCCGCTTGTTGATAAAAGGACGCTTCGATGCCAAACAGCTTTTCAAACCGCCCTCATTAAGTCGCCGGCGAACAGTACGTCGACTTACATTGAGATCCATCGATTCCACAATATGCCTCGACGAATACTTCGGATTCTGCTTAGCCATTCGAACAATTCTGATGTCATCACGATTACTTGTCGCACACGATGACGTCCTTGTCCGGATAAGTTCCTCACAATTCCTCGTGTTTCGTACTTTTTCCATATGTGCTGAACAGCTCCAGCTGAGATCCAGTACATTTCGGCAATTTTCCGAAAAGAAATTCCTTTTACACGATCGCGAATCACCAAATTTCTAACATCAAGCGAAATCTGCTTTCCCGACATTTTTCACCTTTCAAATGACGCAAACAAAACACAATGGTGCGATGCGCACGCTTCCCGGAACAAGAACTGTCAAATATTACGCCGTGATGCCAAATCTTCAGATTTTGTTTTTATTCGGTGGCTAAAAAATAAAATCTTAGGAGTGTATGATTTATTTTGTCCAAGAACAAAAGTGAGCATATATTTATTTAAATTTGTAACAAAAATAGCAGAATATTATAACAATTTTCATTCAGCTAATTGAATGCACCATGAGAAATACTTGAACTTTTCTGAATATATTGCTGAAATTGCGTGCAAAATAGCAAAAATATGATGTATGATTTATTTTGTCCAGTACTGTATTACTAACGAACTGATATGTTTAAAATAATACTTAAAACAGCCGCCCCAAACTAAAATTGCCCCGTTTTACGGTGTCCATGTTTTTGGGCAATACACGCAAAAACCAAGATACCCAAAAACTCTGCTTGTTCTATGGGAAAGAACCCATCTCCCCAAAAATTACCCTACAATAAGAGTTGGTCCCCAATTAGCTTTAATCCCATATGGTACGTGTATTCGTTAATACCGGATCCTATAATGCGGTCCCTATTAACCGTACTATAGGAATCTTGACCATTTTTACGGATGTTCCGGATCTTCCGGTGGACCATCCCGTGGTCCCCTGGGTGTATATTCTAGTCACAACTCCAAATGCATTCTGATAAGACGTCTATGAGTTATTTCGAAAAATCTGCGGAGCTCTAGGATCAGTTTCATGAATTACGGATCTTCCGGTGTACCATCCCGTGGTCTCCAGTGTCCATATTCCAGTCACAACTTTGAATTCATTGTGATAAGGAGTGATGGGAAAATATCAAAAAATCAAATATACCAATGCCGAAGAACACGCTTGATTTTCGTAGACAAAAATCAACAAGCATACAGCTGCGGTTGATTTTGCAAGCTGTGATATCGCAACTCGGAATATCAAGCTAACGAAACTCACCGCAGCTGCAAATCTCAAAAAACTGTGGTGAGATTGAGTTTATTGATTTTTGCTTTAAACCCGAAGGCAAGCGAAACTTCCATAACGGTTGGCAGCAGTCACTTCGTGTCTGCCATCGGTGAACAGTAGAAAGAGATAGCATACTATACTTTCTCTTTCTAAGAAAACGATGTGCAACGGAATGATTTTTGTGTCTAGTCCGCTTGATTTTTGCACGTTGTGAATAGTCTCGCAATATCAAAGGAGCTTGTAAAATTAATATCAAGCATGAAATTTTGTTCCAATATCACGCGTGATATTTGAGAGCGTATGAGAGCGGAAAAATATAATTTAATTGATGATTTTTCCAATACTGGTGATAAGACGTCTAGGAGTTATTTTAAAAAAAAAAATCCACTGAGCTCTAGGATCAGATTCATGAATTGACCACTTTTACGGATGTTCCGGATCTTCCGGAGGACCATACTGTGGTTTCCAGTGTCCGTATTCCAGTCCCAACTTCGAATTCAGTCTGATGTGACGTCTAGGAGTGGTTTTGTAAAATCCGCTGAGCTCTAGGATCAGATTCATGAATTGACCCTTTTTTACGGATGTTTCGGATCTTCTGGTAGACCATCCCGTGGTCTCCAGTGTCCATATTCTAGTCACTACTCCGAATTCATTCTAATAAGATGTCTAGGAGTGATTTAGAAAAGTCTTCTGAGCTCTAGGACCAGATTCATGAATTGACCATTATTACGGATATTCCGGATCTTCGGGTGAACCCCTTGGTCATCCATATTCAGGTCAAAACTTCGAATTCATTCTGATAAGACGGCTATGAGCGGTTTAAAAAAAAAAAAAAAAACATGAAGCTTAGAATCAGTTTCATGAAATGACCACTTTCACGGATGTTCCGGATCATCCGGAGGACCATACTGTGGTGTCCAGGGTCCATAATTGGATCACAACTCCGAATTCATTCTGATAAGACGTCTATGAGTGGTTTCGAAAAAACCACGGAGCTCTAGGATCAATTTCATGATCCTATTTATTTTATTTTAGATCCATTTATTTTAGAAGAATTCTGAAAAGTACTCTGTAAAGGGAAAACATTTGAAAGAAAATCGTCGAGATAGTCAATTTAAATCCTGCAAAGTTTTGAGCGAATATTCATAGATAAATTTTGAAGACTTCGAACGCAAAACCAAATTGAAGGTTCAGGAAAAAACCTGCTGTCTTAGTAATTACTCATTTAGCCTAGTTATCTCATCGACTCAATCGCGTACAATAATATCAAATTTAATCGATGATCTATCGTTCGTGATCATATTTCTAAATCGGTAAAGAATTGGACACATTTGAGATTTCCTAAAAGGTAACATGTTTGTTTGGTTTATTTCTACCTTATGCATGGCTCGTCACAGTTTTCTAATCCTTAGAGCGTGTCGTGCTTATGGATTTCCCCAAAACAACTATTTTGTTTTGTTTCCACTAGCGTTTGAGCAACGTGTGCAAATTGTTTTTCAGAATTTGATTTATGTAATAAAACTGTATTTTTCTTGTGGTAAATCATTCCAACTCTAGTGAATCCATTCAAAAATGGTTCACAGTAACCTCAAAGCCAACTTCTATCAGATAGTGAGAAAACTTCAGTGTTAATCTAATCGCATGAGACCTTGGTCCAGTGAAACATAAATCTCATCAGTCCAATGAAACATAAATCTCATTTTCGTTTTTCATCGGCCAAGGTTGCCGGTTTGCCCCGCCATTTTTCATCTACTGCTATATTTACGTTCCCAGAGCCATATCTTCCACACTCATATCGGATCTGGACTCTGTTTTGTTTTCTTTCAACCATCGTTTATTGCACGGAATGCACTATAAACACAACAAGATATTATTCCAGCGGAAGCAGGCAGTGCTTTAATATTGCTCCACCACCTGTTCTTAATTGTAATGCTTCGTGTTGTGCGGTGGTATATGGATCAGATTTTCCATTTCAAGTTTCCATTCGTTTATAGTTACTCTTGTGCGCTTTCTCTAATTCGTTAACGGTTTCTTTCGGCCGAACCCACCAATCCATGGTAGAAACGGCGGCTCGGGTGGCGCTGGCGGTGGAATTCGCTCCCCAATTACACCCCATGGAGCCTTTTCCACAGCAGCCATAGCGAATGGCAATATCGAGACTACCTATACCCTATTGCTTACCGGGATTTGAATTGGATCAGTGCTTTTGCACCGCGCCACCGACCGCCACAAGTAAGAAGACTATTAAAATTAACGAACGAAGGTTCATATCACCCCGCCCGCCGGGATGATAGAAGGTTGCAAGTATATAGTAAATGTTGTGCCCGTTAAGTGAACGGCAACAGTCAATGACACACAGCACAGCACCAGGCAGCGATGAATGGTGGTATAACGGCATGATACGCTCTCCTCATGCGCTTGATACTGATCCAAACGGGGAGTCTATGTCTCTTGTTCTTCGGTTTTCTAGGTTAAAGGTCACTTGTACAATCGTAAATTCTGCGATTTGATGGAGTGGCTGCTATACATTGTGGCACACGCCACTTCTACACTACAACTTTCAACGGACGTGTGACATTGGCTACCGCTGCTGGCTGTCCACGACGGCAACTACGGCGACGGTGGCTGTGCGATTTCACTGCGAAGGACCCCATAATTGATTGTCCTTTTCGGTCGCGTGCTTGAGAGTAAATTTATGCGAGGACCTGTTCAAGGATTTGTATACAACTCTAGAAGGGCTTTGTTTCGAAGGGAAAGGCCACAAGAGGTTCATTGGTCATACTCAAGGATGTTTGAAATAATAAATATGTTCACCCGTCATACTTTCGCAATGCCACAATGATTGATAATATAATTATTAATTATTCCTTTCGTCGTTTCGCTTATTTCCAGACACATCAGGAGAGCTAAACTTTCTGACACCCAACTCGGCCAAGGATATCCAGCGTGAGTTCACCGCCGGAATTAAGGAACGTTGCAAACTGCCATTGATCAACTGCCAAGCAGTGACGACCGTGCTGGATCCAGTAACAGGAAACATTAGTACCGTTCTCACGACGACGTCCCCGCAGGCAGAGACGGCCACCACGGCGGTCGCCAGCAAGAAGCCCAGCTATCTGAATCTGGCCTGCTGCGTGAATGGTTACTCGAATCTGACGACCTATGATTCGAAGCTGAGGCAGGACATCAACAAGTCACGGGAAGTTTCGCCGAATCGACCGATCATTGCCACGCTGCACTACAACCGGTCCGAGGGTGGTAATTTTCAGCTGACTGCACCCACGCTCAGCTACATTAGTATGAACAATAGCATCAACAACAACATCAGCAACGGTGGTAGCAAATTCGGCGCAATGCTGAACGGAGCTGGACGGTTCGCGAATGGCGGCGGTGCTGCCACCGCCGGTCAGGATGTGACGGATAATGCCATGTTCAATGGGAACGGGTTTGGTGGCGGGGGGCTGAGGACCAAAGTGATTTCATCGCAGTCCCAAATTAGCAGCGTGAAGGAGACCGAAAAAGTAGTGAAGAAGAGTTTCATACAGCAGCGCGTTGAAAAGCTGTACGGTAACGCGGAAGGTGTCGTGATTAATAAGCAAATTTACAACAGCAATGAGAGGAAATATTTGAACAACATTGCCAACGAAAATGTGAGCAAAAACTACACCAATGCTTTGCATTTCAATGGGAACGGAAATGTGGCCACCAATGGTGGCACTCAGCTCAGCACTGCCGGTGCCGGAGGCGGCGGGGTCGGTTTCTGCGGCGGTGGAACAAAAGAGAACCTCGACGAAAACAATAAAGAAATCGCCGATGATCCAGATATGGAAGCGCTACCAGTGATGAGGCATTTACGGCCCGAGTTTCGGGCGCAGCTGCAAATTTTTTCTCCCAAGAAAATTCCCAAGACATCACCGAGCCGGAGCGTTGTCACTACGGCCGGTAGCGGCGCTGTCAGCCTGAATGGCAACGTCAAAAACAACAATCACATAATCTCCAACGGGGATCTAAGGTAGGATTATGTTTGTTTTGTTATGGCGTAATTAGGTTAATAGGAATGCGTTAGCTTGTTGTGGGATTTTAACAATTACGAATCGTTTTATCAATCAAATGGATTTTGGAAAGTACAGTAGCATTTGGTCAGCGAAGAGCCATGCGTTGTCTACATTCGACTACCGTTATTAAGTTAGGAAGAAAGACTTTGATTCATAAGCAGAAACGCTTGTGTTACACCTTTCAATAGGGAAAATTATCCTAGACCAGAATGTTATCATGAATGATCGGTAGTTTAGAGCATTCATATGACATGATAAGAGGACTTCTAGCTTCTAGGGAACATTCAGGGAACTCATAAATACCATGTAGTGTCCGTTCACCGCTCACTTTAGAGCAAAATCAAGTTCACATCGTTAGTAAAATTACTTTTCATAAATATATTTAACGCATTATATGGTTGATAAATTATTAGATATTGAAGAAACACTCGTCTTTGTTATGAAATATTGGTAGTAATGTCTATTTTAAGTTTATTTTTTGAATGAGCGGTGCAGGGAACCCCGTTCACCGCTCATATGGATGTAAACAAAAGCAATTTTATTCGACAATAAACAGTGGAGTAAAAAGGCCGATGGTTCAATATGATCATAAACAAGTGAATTAACCAGTTAAACGCATGTTTAGAACTCATCTTAGGAACTTTTTCAACACATTTTGCCAAAATGAGCGATGAATGGAGGTCGAGCGGTGAATGGGTACCACACGGTAGAATGTTCAGGAAAAGTTGATTTGACTGTATTATTTTTTAAAGAGTAGTTGGAAGTTCCTACTTGACGAAAAGCTTTACCCTCGTGATCGTGAGATAGGATAGGCAGAACATTTTTAATACCACCTGATTTTTCTTTGCTTTTCTTGTGATTTTTTGGAACAAGTTGCATTAAGTTTGGTTGCAAATTGAGACCACCCGATCAAAAATAGAGGCGAAAAAAATCGCGTAAAAACAGAATTGAACGTATTGCCCATTCGATTATGTATTTGACGTCCGATTATTTGACAATCGCAGTTTTAATAGTATGCTGCGGTTGTCAGTTGCGTTGAAGAATGTTCCCTAAAATGGCAATAATTGTTATTTCTTGATAGAGCTGGAATTAGGGCGAAACAGCTTTTGTAAACAATGACTTCTCTCCATGATTTCTCGAAACTGAAGGTACGCCCACGCAAACCAACATAACCAACGGGAAGGGGAAGTCTTCCCCTATCAGATGGTGACGTTGATTTGAGTGAGCGAGCCTTGGCTTTCTAGAGATCATCGAGAGAAGTCATTGTTTACAAAAGCTGTTTCGCCCTAATTCCAGCTCTATCAAGATTTAGTGAATGCAATGCTTTCTTTGAAAGTTTAATCATTGCTGACCATGATAATTATAGAACATTTGGTCCAGTAGATTTTAACTACAGTGGATCTTCCATATCCTTAGGTTGAGGGAAGTGATTTCATATCGAGAAATCGAGAAATTAGAAAGAGCAGATTTGGGGGAATTTTTTATTATGGAAATTTGATAAATTTAAATTGCCTCTAAGCAAATCCACGCCAACTGCAATCGATCAAACTACACTGGAGTCGCTTTTTACGCGGTTTTTTTTTTACACGGTTTTTTTTTACGCGGATTTCGGAATTTACGCGGTTTTTTTTTACGCGGATTCCGGAATTTACGCGGTTTTTTTTTACGCGGATTTTGGTTTTTTTTTTACGCGGATTTCAGAATTTACGCGGTTTTTTACGCGGATTCCGGAATTTACGCGGTTTTTTTTACTTGGTTTTTTTTTACGCGGATTTCGGAATTTACGCGGTTTTTTTACGCGGATTCCGGAATTTACGCGGTTTTTTTTACGCGGTTTTTTTTTACGCGGGACGTATCACCCACGTAAAAAGCAACTCCAGTGTATACCCTCTCTGAATTCCATGAAACTTTGCATAATTGTTCGCTAGAGGCATTAAACCAAGTTCGCATTAGAAATTATCGCCGACTTCGGTAATTTTTACCGAAATCTGAACAGCTGAACTTCCCGAGCAAAGTCTGAGATCAAATTAAAATCTAAATTTGATGTTGTGATTTCGCTGATAATGATTACTCAGGTTGCTGACGTTTTGGTCGTTTTAACGGTTAAAATATCAAAATTGAGAGCAAAAAAATCTTCCTGTGACATCACATTGAAAACTATTTCTGCTATCAGTGAGAGCAAACTGAAAACTCAATTTGATATCAATTTTTCCTGTTGATAACAAAACAAGTAATAAATTTGATGTTATGCTAAGGCAATGAAAACAAACCCGCAACAACTTATTTTTGTAGAGCAAATGTACAGCAAAATGAAAACGAAATTTATCAATTGCATAAACTGAAATCAAATTAGGATTTCAGTTTGATGTTGATATCAAAACTTGATTTCAATTTGCTGTCATTTTGATGCTGGACTTTGCTCGGGTTTTCGGTGATACCTTATCGCGAATTTTGAGCGTACAATTCCAAAACAATTAGACGAAGTTCTATAAGAATAGTCTGAGTATATTCCAAGCGCATTTCGAAAGGACAGGGTGGCCTGCAAACCAGGAAAACCGGGAAATATCGGAGAATTTTAAAAGTAACCGGGAAAAACCCGGGATTTCGACGAGAGAACCGGGAAAAATAAATTAATCACACCATAGGAACAAATGTTTACACCAGAATTTCAGAAGAAACCATTACAACAGATTAATTATTTACCAAACGAATGTGTTGCTCTGTTTGCTGCATAATTTTCTTCGGTTTCCCGTTTGTTTTTGTCTTTGTTTTGAGAATCTAATCACTCAGAAATATTTCAAATTGATTTTTATCGTTTCAATTACAGATGTAAAGTGCATGGATCCTTAAAAAAAATATTGAAGATGCTGGACTTTGGAAACAAATATTTGTCAAACCGAAACTGAACTATTATCTTCCAGGGTTTCTCATGATATGAATTCCAGAATTAACTTGGAATTCTTCTGAAATAAACCAGAAAACTCCGCGTAATAATTACAGTTGAATTCTTTTTGGAATTTCCTTGAAACACCTTCTAAGAATTTAATTGGAATCCTTCTTAGAATTTCCTTGAACCTATTCGGAGACTTTAATTTCTTTGAAATTCTTTTCAAAATTTGCTTTTAACTCTATTCAAAACAGCTGAAATCTTTCGCAATTTTTTTTAGGAATCCCTTGGTGTATTTGGAAGAATTTCTTTCTCAAGATCAGCATTTTTTTAGCATTTTTTTTTTAGCTTTGTGATTAATCTAGGGTATTACCAGAACACTCTTTGAACTCTGTTTCTTGTTGAATTCTCATCATAATTCTCTTGGAATTTATCGGTCATTTTCCTCACGATCCCCATACAAATCTTCTCAGAATCACGTTGGAATATTCCTTAATTTTTTTTCACAACTCCTATGGTACAAAGAATGCAAGTTCTTAATTAAACTCTTAGGTAATTTTAGAAGGTTTCAAATTAAAATTGCCTAAGAATTTAATTTGGAACTTGCATACTTTTCCACAGAAATTCCTAAAAATCCATCAAACAATTTCTAAGGACTTCATGTCAGAATAACTATGGCATTCTGCTTAGAACTTCTCCTCCGAAAATTATGAGGGAATCCTCCTAAATATTTGTTTGAAATCAACACTTTGAATACTTTTAAATTATACTAAAAAATTTAGAGTTTGTCCACAAGATTCTATAGAGTGTTCTTTAATTTGTATAACCCTTAAAATGCCTCGATAAGTAGTATTCTTTTTTCAAATCTGTTGTCCTGAAAAATTTCCAAAATCTCACATTTAAATTAATTTTTCTCCAAATTTTGCGTTGCAGACTGTTATCAATCACAAATTTTGAAAAAAAAAAAAAGTTCTTCAAGTTGCCACAGAATCTTGGGAATCTTCTTAAATCACATTTGTTTAATATTTCAGTAAATTGCTTCAGTAATTTACCTTTTTTGTTGAATATTTAAAACCGGAAAACTTTTAAGATTTGAACCGGGAAAAAAACGGGAATTTGAAAATGTAAATTCACTGGCCACCCTGAAAGGAATTGCTAGAGAATGTTAATGAGAATTCCATGCAATGTTCAGAAGAATTTATAGGAGCATTCCAAGATAATTCTGAGCAAAATTTGAAGACCATTCTCGGCGGGAGAATTTCCCCTGCCGGATGGTGTTGGCAGGGAAGGGGGATTACAAGTTTTGCTGACAAAAGCTAATAGGCCCTTTTCAATTGTTGGTCTAAGGTGATTTCTACGGAGAATTTCATGCAAATTAAAAAAAAAATGAAGCTCCAGTGAATTCTTAGAAAGAGTTTAATGAATGAGGATGAATTTTAATTTTTTTTGGAGTTTTCTACAGAGAATTTCTGTACTATCATATAAACAATTTCAAGGGATTTCCAGAGAGAATTCCAGAGAAAGAATTTTGGAGAGATCTCAAAAGGTCTTAGAAATTACCCATTTAACCTTCGGCTTCATCGCTTTTAGTTTTATGCTTGATTAAAATACCTAAACCGCGATAATTTCCAAAATTCCGGGAGAAAAACGGGAAAATTGCTAGTGAAGATTTGCTGGTCACCATGGAGATGATTTGGAAATTTGGATGAATTTATGCCCCTTGGATAGAATGCAGATCCTTTCCGTATTTGGCAACATAAGATTTCTGTCTTTTTAGCAATCTATAAAATGTATGGAACGCTTTATTTAATTTGAAATTGTACTGGCCCACATAAAGCACTAATATATTCTGAGGAAAGTTATAGCTGATGGGATTTGTTCTGCCAAAACCGGGTAGGTACTGCACCTGGAATTTTTTTGAAATAATAACAATAAAAAAAAAGATCCAGCAAAATAAAACTCCGAGCTACTCAGCTGTGCCAATCTTGCCCTGCAAAACTAAGTGTGTAGTAATGATTTCCAGAGAATTTATGGGAACAAAATTTATCAAAGAAATAATTTTTAGGAACG